AAGTGACACTGAGACTAATCCTCGAGAGAAAGAACATGCTGTTACTACCAGTTGTGGTATACAGGTGTCTAATCCCACAGTAGTACGACCCACTTCACCTACTGCTGAGAAAGAGGTGGTACAGGAACCAAATGGAAATCCTGAACCAAGTAAGACTGATGTACGACCCACTATACCTACTGCTGAGAAAGATGTGCTATCCTTTCTTTATTTCTTTCTTTTAATGTCTTTCCCAATTAAAATAATATGTTCTTCGAAACATATGCTAATTCGGGAGCATGTTGTACTTTACCGTTACTTTTTCAAGAGCAATATTTCAATATTCTTTTGGAATATTGATTATAATGTTGTATTATTTCAAGAGTAACAATATAATAAATTATTAATTTAAAATTTATAAAAGAACATCTATTTTTTTTATCATTTTAAAGACACAAATAGCATTAATAATCATCGTAAACTTATATTTTACAAACATAAAAAAAATTGAAGCAAAGAGTATATAAATTAAAACATAAATTAATATGTGTACGTGCAAACGTTATTCAAAGCAGAGAAGAAGCAAAAGTTGGGCAAAAACAAGAAGCTAGGTATGCACGTATGTTAAAAAAAAAACTCCTTCCTTGTCTTCAAGGTGAGGTTTCTCTCTCTAAGTCGTCTGATCTTAGTTCTCTTCCCTCTTGGATTGTATCCATAGAGGCGTGGGGATGGCGAGGGATTTGTCTAGTTTGTACGCTAGACTTAGGCTCACAGAGAAGGAATCTCAAGTTTTGGAGGTTGTCGAAGCTGTAGACGGTTTATCAGTGGAAAAACGAGCAAAATGTCTTGCTTTCAGGGTGCTTGCTGACCCGGAGGTGAACAAAGGGGCGTTGAAGACTATTATGCTCCAGATTTGGCAACTCGAAGGTAAGGCGGTTATTAAGGAGATTGGGCGAAATACGTTTCTGTTGGAGTTGATTAGGGTTTCGGGCAAGAAGCGTATTTTGTCGGGAAGACCGTGGTCCTTTGATGAATTTTTGCTTTGTCTCCATGATTGTGAAAGGGTTAACACCATTAAGGAGATAGGGTTTACTGAAGAGGTCTTCTGGGTCCAGTGTCACGGCCTCCCTTTCGCAGGGATGACCCAAAATACGGGACAGGCCATAGGTGAGCATCTGGGGAAGGTTCTTGTCATTGACACGGATAGTAGTGGGGTTTACTTTGGTGCATTTCTGCGTGTTAAGGTTCTAATTGACATTTCGAAACCATTGTTGAGGGGCTGTTTAATTAACATAGGCAGGATCCAGTATTGGGTACCATTTAAGTATGAAAGGTTGCCTAATTTTTGCTATCATTGTGGTCTGGTGTTCCATCCATCCGGTCGATGTTCTCAGAAAGAAAATGGATCAGCCATTGGGGATGGGCTTGAACAGCAATATGGTCCATGGTTGCGGGAGTCAAGAAAGAAATCTGTAGGACTATCGTATCGGAAGGGGCTGACCAAACCCAGTTGCATTTCCCATCTTCTTCTTGCCGAAAGCCGTCTGAACATCTCACTGGCCTGGAGGAGAGGTTGGTGCATAATCAGGTCCCTGATTATCAGCAGAAGGATTTCAGTTGCAATCAGGGGGAGCTGGTGGTGGGGCTATCGGGAATGATCTCAGTGCAGAAGTTCAGGAACTGGATAATTGTGGGGCAAATCGCCCACGTGGGAATGTTCTACTGGACCTGGGCCATGGTAAAAATTGGAAAAAAAAGGGCCCGATCAAGCCCAGTTTTGGTACGGCCCCAGTTAATGGAGGTGGATGGTTTTGAGCCCATAGCATTGAGCACTAAAGGTCAGGAGGATGTTGATGTAGAGGATTCGTCCCCTAAACGTGTTAGAAGGGTGCTGAGTGAGAAGGATGATTTTGGTTTGGCAGTGGCTGCTGGGTAGCCCTGCGAGCCAGTTTGATTGCTTGACTGTCGTGGTTGTGGGCTTGGGATCCCTTGGCTGTTTGGGTGTGATCTTTGTTTGGACTTGGCTAAGTTCCCATTTTGGGTTCCTTCTAGAACCGGGTTGTATAGGTTGGGGGGTTTTTTTAGGATTTCGTTTTTAGTTTTGATGGTGGTTTGGTGGGTTGGTGGTGTTCAGGTGCGGTTCGGTTGGTGGTGTTTTTCTTTGTTGGTTGGGATGTGGTGGTTGTGAGGTGCTTCCTCCGGTATTTTTTGGATTTTCAATCACCGGCTTGGTGAAGGGCTTGCTGTGTATTAATGATTGATGAAGATCTTGATTCCGGATGCTCTGGCACCTGTTCGGGTTCCTGGGGTTAGTTTGGGTAGTGTTGTTTTGTATAGTTTTTTCTG